TTTTCTATTAACAATAGCAGATCTGTATTATTTCTAAAATTGTTAGTTTAATATATGCGAATATTAATAATAAATAGAAAATATTATTTTTTTGGGCAAAAAATATTATCTAATAATTTACTATGTTAGAAACAAATAGTGGAAAAAGAAAAAAAAGTTGCACGAAGCAGGTTTCGAACAGGTGATCTCTAATATTCCAGCCACTCGCCTCAGAATTTCTTTTCTGAATCAGAAACGCTTGCCTTTATGCATGCAAGTAGCATGCATTTATCGTCTGTTGTGTCGGCTCGGTGGAAGGGAGCGTTCGCTCTCTTCCATTGGTTGAACGGCCGAGCTCACACGGATACGTGACGTAGCGCTTCTGTAAGGTTGTGTGAGGCAGCGGAGCCGGGACCGCTGTGGGAAATATCGCATCACTGACTCGAGATAAGAAATTGCCTCTCTAAAGATATAATTTCATAACCCCTTAAAATAAAAAATTATTGCAAACTGCACAAGGATGTAACAGTATAAAGAGTTTTTTTTAAATTTTAATAATCTTATTTGGTCAGAATTTAAACAAATACAAATGGTACCCGAAATTCAGGCATTTTATCTTACAATAATTTGTTATTTAAACATTATAATATTTTAATATATGTTTTAAATAATTCTCTGTCTTCTTCTCTCAATGATACAATTATATAAAAATAATATAATCTTATATTACATTTCTAGTAATGATCTTGAAGCTTTTTGATTCTTTAACACCACTGGATCAACTATTATTAAAATGCGCGTCAGTGTTGGGAGAAATTGTTAACAGAAACATGTTGCAGTATCTAATGAATTTTATATCTGCGAGAGAAATTGCACTTGGTAAAAGAATAGCTATTAGTAAAATGTAGATGTTAATTCCAATTGCTGTTTCAAAATCATCTTCAATATTACGATATAGGGGAGACAAGGGCGGAATGGGGTACCGGAGTAGAACGGGAAAAGTAGCCTAATTTCCACCAGCATTATACACTATAATGTTCATAAAAAACAAAAAATTTTTAAATTACAGTTTTGTTATCTGCACGTGGTGTCAATATTTGTTTAATATAAAAATTCTGCAGTTTTTTCGTGCGAAAGATATAGCGCTCGTCTTCGGTATAACATGAAAGAATATCAGTGAATTTTTAAAAATGAGCTTAGAAGCCTAGTAAAAAAGATTGGTGTCTAAAAATTTCATGCGTATGTCTGAGTGTGTGTGTATGTGTGCAAGATTGAGGCACAAGAGTAAAGGCTGGAATACAGACTTTTTTACATAACGAATAAGGGAATCCGAATCCTTTATTTCCATCTCCAAAATAGAGTTGAGCAGAGCCGAATATATAACGGTTGCGAAAGTGTTAAGTATACTGTTCCATCCCGGTCTCCCCTATTTAAAAGTTGCCTATCTCATGCAATGTTATCTTTTTTTATAAATAATTACATAATTTCGATACGCAATTAAAAAAGAACAAAAAAATTGTTGAAAGAAAGAATAAAAAAGGTAATATTTTTTACGCATTGCAGCTATTCAGAAACTCTTCGAAATTCGGATTTTGGGATGCGCACTAGGAGATTTTACTGCGAGTATCAGACCGCTGGTGTTTTACAGAAATATAAACAGACCTAGTGTCTCGATAGAATCCGCATGTGAATGTGTGGGTCTCGTAACACCAAGTACGTATTAAGTCAAACCTGTCTACAGAAACCGTATGTTTCATTAAGGACTTTTGTAATGAAAGTAAAATTCGCCCAGATGAACTAGCTGACTTGCCGCGATACGCGTCCTGCGGTCTGATGCGTTTCAATATATCGATGTTTCGCGAAACTACTTACAGGTACTGATGATTTTGTTATCGTTATATAATTCTAATCAATCATAATAATCGATTATAACAATATTAAGATACTGTTTTAAATAGCACAAAATTTTAAAAATCTTAATGAAAATTGCGTTTGTCTTGTTTATATATAAAGATCACTTACGGAAACTCAGAAGATGGAATTGCATAGCAAGGCATTAAAATATCTTCAGCGACATACCAGACGATGTATAGCGTGCAGTGAGTTACAATTTACAAGATTGTTAGGCAAAACTATCACAAAATACGACGCGCAAGAAAATAAAAAAAGAAAAACTGTCGAGTTTCCCGAAATCCAACTTGAAGAAGTGATTTATACGGTCAAACATACAAAAAATGGTATCTATTATTTACCTAGAATCATATATTAATTTAAAAAATTATTAAATCGTTAAAAATTATTATTTAACTGGTTAATTTTATTTTCGTAGCAATTATATACAGTGGCGTGCAAAAGTTTCCGGCCAGCGACATTTTGCATTCAAATTTATAAAAAAATAGCCTAATCAAATTTTAACCATTATCAGATATAAGCACAAGATGTAGGAAATAAGATAATATAGTGAAAAAATATTGTTTATGTTTGTGAAAATATGTATTGTCATAATTGTCATATGTACATGTGCAAAAGTTTCCGGCCACTTAATATATTTGACTCACAATAGAATTTTAATAGTTTGTTTATAAATGGTAGCGCTTTAAATGATTACATTTAGTTTATAGAAGGTCGTCAAAGCATAAACATGGCTCGGTATACGCAAATCCAAATTCATGAGAGAGTAATTAAATTTTCAGAAGACGGAAAGTCTTCTCGTGAAATCGCTTCATTATTGACAATAGGTAAATCAACCGTGAATGATATTATTGCTAAGTATTGTACTGGATACGGTTTCAAAGATCGCCCACGTAGTAGAAGGCCACGAAAAACATAAAAAAAAGTAGATTTTGTCATATAGCGCAAATCAAATGCGAATGTCAAGAAAACTGCTGCCGAAATTGCACGCGAGCTACAAGACGAAAACCTTGCTGATGTTAGCCGTAGTACTGTGACACAAAGACTACATGATGTAGAACTTTTTGGACGTATAGGTATTAAAAAATCATTAATTAGTAAAAAGAACAAGAAAGCCCGATTACAATTTGCCAAAGATCATCAAAATTGGACAATCAAAGATTGTAAAAAAGTAGCTTTTTTAGACGAATCCAAATTTAATCTTTTTGGAAGCGATGGTAGACAACATGTACGACGTCCTATTGGTAGCAGAAATGATGTGCGGTATCAAATCCTACCGTAAAGCACGGTGGAGGAAGTGTAACGGTTTGGGGAGTTTTCTCTGCGCAAGGAGTCGGTCCACTTGTCGAGATCAACGGGATTATGAACGCTGCTATTTACAAAAATATTTTTTAAAAAAATTTATTAACATATGCTGAAGAAAAAACGCCACAAGATTGGATATTTCAACAGGATAATGACCCGAAGCATACATCAAAAGTAGTATATGGCAGGTATGGGGCGTCACAACAAACCCCCACCACCTACCCCATATTTGACCCACTGACCTACATTTGGTCTGGCGTCAAAACAAATGATGTCACAGGGAGGGGAGGGGGAAAAGATGGCGGCAGTGGGTCCAACATGGTGGACGTCTACAAGATGGCGGCTGTTGACAAGTGATTTTTATTTTTCGGAATTGAGAAAAATTCAAGCTGGGTTTGAACCTGGATCGCTGGATTTCTAGTCCTGGTCCTAGTCTGCTGGGCTACCTATACATCTAATGATAGTAAAATGGTGTGTCGTATTTATGGCTATGGGACCTGGCAGGGAAGGGATGTATATATGCTGGGACCGCGTCTATATGATGTACCCCGAACTCTCTGGCAGGTATGGAGCATGTAAACAAACGGCGTCGCACAGTCGCCTCTAGTCTGCGAAGGGAAGGGATGTATATGTGCTGGGGCCGCGTCTATACTAGGTACCCCGGACTCTCTGGCAGGTATGGAGCATGTAAACAAACGACGTCACACAGTCGCCTCTAATCTGCGAAGGGAAGGGGCGCATTTATACTGGGACCGCGTCTATATGAGGTACCCCGGACTCTCTGGCACGTATAGCAAACAAAAGAATGACGTCGCAGCGACGAATGATCATTCGACTTTTAGTTTAATATTTGATGCGATGGTTAAGGGGTCGAGCGCTCGATATTGCGTGAACGGGGTGAGCGTCAGCCACCCGTTTTCGCAGATTGAACGTGCTGTAAGAATTGACGATAGCGAGTGGAGCGTGCAGGAACATGTGAAAAGGGAAGGAAACAAATGCAAGAAATGGAATACAAAATCGTTTATTTGGAATTTTTTTTAAAAATACATAATTGAACATTACAGTCAAAATATAAAAATATTTTATTCAACTTACTGAATACATTCTAAAAATATTATTTCAAAGCGCACATCGAGAAATGTTAAATATATGAAAAAAATGTTTTATTTTAAATTTTTAAAATACATCGTTGAATATTACAACAAGTACTAGTAGGTAGTTTCGTTTGCTCATTCTTTTTACAAAGAAAAATTTTGCGATATAAGCATACTATCAGTCTGTCGTTTTGGTTATAATCATTGGTGAAAAGACGAAGAAATTGCTAAAGGCTGTAACCAAGAGACAAATAGTAAAGAAACACGCAGCAATATTGACCGCATGTTTGCGAAAAAAATCCTTGTAGCTGCTCGGTGTTCCATCGATACGTGATGGAATTTCGTCGAAGTCGCAAATGAAATCGTTGATCCGAGTGTGGCGGGATTCCGTAACTATCGAAATATGTGCCGGTACCATGCTCGTCGATGTAAAAGGCGACCCAGTGTCTTCCGGGGCGGTCATGTTCGTCTGTATTAGCGACAATGGCTGTCGACCTCGTCCACACCCTCGGTAGTCTGTCGGCAGGATAGACTCCCGCATATCTGACATTGAGACGATGCAACGCGTGTAAGATTTCCAACGAATTCATTTGTCGCGTAACAAGACGGTGCTCGCGTGCGAGGAATTATTTGTATAGTAGAGTCGCAGGGGTTTACCTCCTTACGCAAAGAGTAGACGTTCTCGAATGATTGTGTGTTAACGGAGATGGTTTGTTGAGCGTAGCTATCGGTAGGATATTCTTCTTCTTTCTTTACGTACGGTGTATCTTTTGCAATGTAATAAAGTGATTGATTCTTCTCTTCTTCTTCTTCTTCTTCCGTAGCGTTACGCCACGCTTCGATATTGCGAATTATATCAAGATTTTTATTCTTTTTCATAAAAACAGCACTGTCGGTTTTTTCGCTTACGCTCCAATTCTCATGAGAAAGATCATCGCAGCTCGAAACGATGCTACACTCACTGCTAGTGTTTTGAGTGACTATCCAGCGTTTCAATTTGCAAGCGTTGCGTAACGCGCAAAGAAATTTGTCTGTAGAGCAAAATCGAAAGCCGTGGTGAGAGCACCGATGTCCGCTCTCTTTGACTTCTGGTAAATTTTTAAATGCCGGAGAAATTCCTTCTAGATTATATACGTTTCTGGAAAGTAGACGCCTCAGATAGTGTGCCTTTTCCTGCCCCCTGCTATAGATGTAGCGCGCTCGACGTGTTATTTCACGTAGTTGTATTACGAAACATTTAAGATCAGTTTCGCCATCGAACCACTCGATTCCGTGATAATTTCGCGAAAGCCAGTTGTTTTCTCGTCTCGATTTATCGGGTAAATCGTCAAAGGGATAGGGAGGCGTCATAATCCAGTGTCCGATGATTGGTGAGTTAATCGCAACGACAGCTACTTCTTTCGGAATAAACTTCTCGGCGGCATCGCGGAAACCCTGTATATCAATGACTATATCCATAGTTATGTCCAAGTACTCACTCTTTATTTTCAAACGAAGCGACGACGTTCGTGTCTCGAACAGGACTGAATCTGTTTCCGCTGCTTCACACGCCATTTAAGAAAACAGACGTAAGGGAAAAATGTGTGTAGTAGTAGTGGTGGGAGGCGGGGGTTTGGCGTTATAAAAGTCTAACCGGCAAAATCGACGATAACTTGTCGAGAGGAGTCTATTTCTAGAATGTTATCGAACTCTGCGGTAAACGATAGAATTAACGGTCGCGGTAAGCGCCTTTTCAAATTTCACTTCTAATCGCAAACGACCATGTTTCACGAGATTCCAATGTCCGGCGCAATGAGCGGACAAGTCGGGGGTAAGATCGAAAGCGAAAAGAGTGTAGCCCTGGCCATAATCCTCTCTACTTATAAAATTTCCCTCGTTCAAGAAGTGAATGCCGGTTCCCGAGAAGAGCGTGTGGTAGGCTTCGACGTAAAGGCCTTCGTCTTTCGAGAAGTTCGGTTGTAACGGTCTACTGGGAATTTGCATACCATCGGCATACAGAGAAAAGAAATTTATACCGTAGTTTTTGAAATTAAACGGATTCAGTTTTCTATCACCATTAAACGCTCTGTTATCGACAAAACCGACTATTACACGTTTTGGCAGTTGTCCGAGTATTACATTATCTATCGATTCCCCTATGAGTCCAGCGTGAATCGTAAATGTTTTAACCTCGACTTTTGTGAGAGGATATTTGGCGGTGGTTTTACTCAACATTCTCGCATGCGAGAGTAACACACCAGGGCTTATCTTTGCTCTTCTAACGAGCAGACTAGCGTCTAGAAGGCGTATTTTTGACAGTGAATTAGATTCCATAAGGCAAACGAATCTTTCGAGCGAACGAGCCTCATTCTAACTTCCACCCCGTTGATTAAGAATTTATCCTGATTGAAAACGTCGCAGTGAAGATGACCTATGAGATCTAGCGCCTATTCGTCTCGAATGTAACGCGAGCGTCTCACGAGAGCCTGATTTGGGGTTTGCGACTCTAGGAGGGCGTCCATTAAACCTGGGGTATCCATATCCCACAGACAGCAGGTCAGATGGGAGTTTTTTGCGGGTGAAGAATAATTTAATAACGCCTCGATGTAAGCCCGATACGCGTAAGCGTTGTTTGGGGGCGACACGAGTTTTTGATTGAAATATATGTCGATTTGGTTGAACATGGAATGCAGTAAATGATTTACAGGGCCTACTTTGAATTCGGGGGTGCCAACGGCGGTACCACCTCCTGCTAGGGGGGAAGATTCTACGCGTACGCGAAGGCTCAGCATGGTGTGCGTGAGATCTAGATAATCTTCTCCATGACCGGGTATGACGAATTCTATAGGCGCGTCGTCCGCGAGCGACGTTACGGGTTTGTAATAAATCCATTGCGAACTCTCGATGCTGGTTTGTGTGAGTGGTAAAGAAAAGAGATCGAGTTCACTTTTTAAACACTCGTTTGAATGTGTATAAAGAAAGGACATGCTCCGTAAATTCCTAATTCACGCACTAATTAAGAGAATATGTCGGCTACACTACGTTTCTTGACTCGACGACGCCTCGTGGTGCCGGATGG